GTGCGTGACAGACGCACACACAGACACACGGACAACCTCTCGTCAATATGCGTTTTTTGCATTGCACTGCTGCAAAAAACGCATAATAAAGAGTGGCACGCACCTGGATAGACAGTGTGGTCATGCGCTTTTTTAATGCAATCCTTGTCCAACAAACACTTGCTGTTAAAGATGTGCTTTTCTTTACTACTTACAGTGTTCTGAAATCACAGGAATGTTCTGGCCGGACAAAGGTTTTACTAGGTGTACATGGGAGCTGGCCACTCATGAACAGGAAAGATTTTCCTGAAATTACAGCTTCCTCGTTTGGTTCTCGAGTTAGCAAATTTCCCGCTACAAAATCCACGTGTCTGCACGTAGCATGGAATCTCCTCCCGGAATTCCAGCTTCCTAATTGATTTCTTAGCTGGAAAACCCGGATAAAACGCACCTAGTAAAAGCAAACAAACACACACGCACACAAAGCTGTCATGATATGCATTCTTTGCAGCTGTCCCGTACCATAAAACGCATAATTTAATAATTTTCTTCCCCATGCAACGAAACATACCGTAACTGCCGGAAAGTGTAGTGTCGCCGCCACGCGAATATGCATGACTGTCGCGAACATAGCTTGGCACGCCCTCACGCATGCTACCAGACGCGTATTCTCGGGCGTCTAGAACATAACAATGCTTATTCATATTGTTTTTCCAATCTGCTCAAAAAACCAGGGCCTACTGCAGGTTTCAACAACTCGTGCCGACTAGTCTCTCTAACGTATGCTTTTATTATAAATAATGAAACGAAGCAGTGGATTAAAAAGAATCTACCATTTATATATAAAAAAAAGTGAGGGTTCCTTTTTATACATATATATATATTTTTTTTCCTTTTGCATCTATGCAGTTCAGAAACACATACTGTCGAGGGTTGTCTGCGTATGTGTGCATGTCTGTGTGTTCGTTTGTACTGAGTTTTCATTTCCAAACCTACAAAAGCTACAAGGCTGAAGCTTTGGGAAGTTAATCTAAACGCACGAATGGGTCCTCATCCCCAAAACGGACGCTTTTACCCAGGTGGTCCCCACGTGCGGGTCCGTGAAAGTTTATGACGGGTAAGTTGCTAACTCGAGAACCAGAGAAGCTAGAAAGCTGAAATTTTAAGGGGATGTTTTCTGGGAAACCCCAGTGGCTAACTTTTTGGTTAGAAGCATCTGCTGGAAAAAAAAGTGCTGTTAGCGACAAAAAAACTGCAGCGAATTGTGAAAAAAACGCATTTTCGCACCGGCAGTTGGTACGATGCCAATTATTCCTTTTTTTAGTACGTCCCGTAAACTTATAGCAAAATCAAAGTTAGAAGCTCCTGCATACTTCACTTCTTGTCAGATATTGCAAGAGTGTCGAAGTGGGAAGCAATCTGCAAACAGCACACTTGCAAAGCTGCTGGTGAAATCTTAAGTTGCTTGTTGCTTGATCAAATCCATTAACATTCCGCAGAGTGTTTCTTTTTTTTTTTTGCACAGCTCCTGTTTCGATTGGTAGAATAAAACTTGCACTGAGATAAGCAAAACGTAAACTCACAGGGTACAGAGGCAAAGTGCGCCTGAGGGCAAAGCTGTGGGAAGAAAAGACAACTAACTGTGACGGCTGCGATCACGGCTGCGCTCACGACTTCTCTCCGATGCACGCACATGCGCACTCACATGTCGAGATGAGGTGTGCAGTTCGCGTCTCTCTGGCGCTGAACTGCGTGAAGCAATGCCGCGATGCGATGATGATCGTTCACCCGATCGTCTTCCATATTCATTTCGCCTTCAAATACTACCGATCAACCCAACTTTATAAATCAAACACACATCCTCACAGGAGCACCACGATCACGCTGGTATGTTGGAAATGGGTTTACTGGCATGTGGCACTATCATATTTTCGACGCCCTGATCACCTAACTTCCCAATTTTGCGCGTTTTCACGCCATGATGTAGCTTAAAAGCTCTCTTTGTGAATCCTGATTAAACTACTTTGCGAAATGGATGATCCCACTTATTAGAACTATTTATGCAGTAAATAAGACGCCGCAGAGACTTATCGTATGATGAAAACAAATCCAAGAACCCAAGAATTTAAAACAAAAATCTTGCATATCGCCGGATTCCCAGTCATCGTGCCGACAGGCGATGCAGGCCTCGGTAAAGCTAGCAATTATGTAGGATTGATTTCAAAACATGCGCCGCAAGCTTCAGCTAGTGATAACACGTTCGGAAGTAGCAGATCGACGAAGATTTTGTGGGCCTCTCCGATGTCGCTAAAATGGCAAACGAAAGACCATATCCACCCCTTTGAGGCTCAGCCACCGATAAAAAAGAACAGCAAGAACTGACTGTAGCGAAGACAGAGTGACACAAGCAGCGCATTTTTATGGTTACCAAACCGATCATTAGATAGGCTGCGTGTTCGATATCGCCGTGTCCATGAAAGATTTAGTGTGGATAACATATTTGGAAGAATGCTAACAGGGATGTACCGCCAATTTGCAAACAACTGCATACGAAACAGTGCAGCCCGCAAAAAAAGCGACGTCCGAATAACCTTCGAAAAGGATAACATGCGCACGATGATAGATACTTCGGCTACAAACTTAAAATGCTTAGCAAAAGACAAAACGGCGTTTGGACGACATGTGAGTAACTGCCACCGATATCGGAACAGTAAACCAATACCGCAAGGGTTCTGATATTCTGCACCAGCAATGCTTTTGCCCCTCGTCCGATCCATTTTCAGCATTATTTGTTTCGTTCCAATACGATGCACCGTAGCCCATTAATGTGTGAGGTGAAATGTTCTGAGAATTCTACTGTTCGTTTAAATGATTAAACGCAGAACACTGATACGAAACAAGGAAGTCTTCCAAAACAGGAATCGGGAAAAACCAGGAATCTTCGGCGCAGCTGCCGATAAAACTACAAATGGAGCTTCCAAAAAGCGTGGGCATATTCATTCAATTTTCGGATCAGAATTAAAGCTATGCCACATCTCTACAAATGAAGGATGTAGAGAACATGTGTACCTGTAGTTGTGTTTTCTGTGTAAGGAAAAGCGAACATCGAACACAAACGTCTAATTGGAGCCCACGCTGCCCATCGAAATACTCAGCTGCTGAAGGGTGCTACCCCAGCAATATACTTCTCTTTTCCACCGCACTGTTACTGTCAAAACTCAATAATCAATCATCAGGAATCGAAGCAAAACGTACTTCAATCTACTTTCGGATTTGTACCTGGATGAATCCACATCACCGTATTCATGAGAGCGACGCGGCCCAGGAGCTGCAGGCGCTGGCATCACTGTCTGTACTGGTGTTGCAAGAGCCGCGATCTGGCGTAACTGCTGCAGTTCCAGGCGCTCTCGTTCAAATCGTTCACGCTCGAATTTGAGACGCTCACGTTCACGCTGAAGTCTCAATTCCTGCTCTTTTAGTCGGTGTTCTTCCTCTTTTTTACGCAACATTTCAATCATCTCACGTTTCTCCCACGAAGATGACTCAACGCGATGCGAGGAAACTTCCCGTCGTGAAAGGCCACGTGAACTACTGCCACGGGCAAAACGACTCGAGAAAGCTCGGCTTCCCAACGATCTTCTTGCCGCAGCAGATGAATAGCTCGGTTTACGGGGGAATGTGCGTCGTAACACAGATACACGATCCACTCGATCAATTCTCCGACCAGCACGGAAACGGAGTGGAGCACGTGATGCTGTCGGACGTTTGCTACTGAACGTTGGAAATCTTGAGTCTGAAACAGCATTAGCAAGTGCCCTAGTTTCCATTTCGCCTTTTCTACGCACATTTCAGTTCACATATGATGTCCGGAAATGATCTCCCGGCACAACAATAATATGATGTGCAAAATTATGGGTTCCTGAAGGGTTTATGTGCTTCAGAAGCCCTTGAAACTCTGTTAATAGACTGTCGGAAAATGAATTCTCCCTCGAAAAGTTATCAGTCTTTTTCAACTTTTCAATGAAGCTTTTTATAGAGCTTAAGGTGTGAGCCTCCTCCTCTCTGCATTTCCACCGAATCACTCGAAAAGCAGCATTCTGTCTGCAAACAGTGCACTAATGCCCAACGCAATGCGCCTCTCCCAGCAACACCAGCATAAAAAACTTCACGCCAACTACAAAAACTTTTGAGAAAAGCCTTTTGATGGTTGCCATTTTTATAGATCCCAGAAATTCAAAAGGCCTCTCTCCCTAAATGGCACAGGTCTGAAATATTCTCGTTACACTGTCTTCATTTATAGAAATTTCTGTAAATGTTACGTGGTGTGCTTTCCGACGGTGCTTTAACCGGCGATCTTGATGTTACAATAGTCTTCGATGTTTTTGGCTTCTCGCTTCCTTCTCGCTTCGCTTTACCGGAACTTGTCGACTTCGTTTTTTCCGCACCACTGTCCTTTTTGGACTTTTCGGATGTTTTTGCGCTGGCTGACTTTTTGTCCTCCGCAATTTTCGATGACGCATCAGCTGCGCTGGTGGTTTTCGCGCTTCCTGCCGTCGCACTAGATGATGTCTTCTTTGGAATTGATTTTACAGTGGGCATGTTGCAACGATCCGCCTAAATTTTGCAAAATTGTACCATATGAGGCAGTGACGATGTTCAATTCTGGCGTAACTGCAATCTAGAGCGTCCAAGAATGCAGTGCTAGTATAATGGATAACTGATACTCGGTTCCCAAAAAGCCACACTGCTCAGCACATAGGCAACTGCTATTTCGAACAAATTTTTGCGCAACATTCTTGCACTTGTCGCACGTCGAGGTGAACCGAAGAGTATCAGTAATTTCTTGCAGAAACGTGACCAAGTGAAAATTTTCTCAGTAAAACTACTAATTTTCAAAATTCAGAAACCCATCTCAGTCTAATCTTTGCATTCTTGAAAAGCTGACTGCATCCGTGCGAATACCTGAAAGTTTCAGTTTTCCTTAAGAAATCCTCAAACTAAATTCCGGACATACTCGTTCCACAGTGATTAGTCGCCCCTTGATAGTTGTTTTATGCAGTTTCTGGATGCAAAGATCAGCCGCGGCAACATCAACCATTGTGACGAAGCCAAAACATGCATTTGATGGCTGCTGCCGTCTGGTAAATATCTTCGCAGTCAGAACCCGACCGTATCGGGCAAACAATGCCTAAAAAAAATTCCAGGAATGAGCCAGATTTATCAAAGACAAAATCTGGGAAGGCACCAAGAACTAATTATTCCAAAGTCAGCAGCACGATTGCTCGGGATGCCAGTGTAAAGTTTCCGATGCTCGCAGGATGAATTTAGGCGCAGCTACAATTTCAAAACAACAAATATAACCTCAAAGAAAGGAACTTATTTAAAAATACCTTAAGATCCGCAGCTTTTGTGCTTGGGCTGATGCCTTTGATCCAAAGCGAATTGTCCGATTTTTTCAGCACCGTGCCTGACGATGCATTTTCGTCGTGCTCCGCTGGCGTCGACGACACAGTTTCCGCAGCACAGGTGAACACGTCTGCCTTGTCCGTGTTCTCTTTCTTATCCTTTTTCATTTCGGCCGTTTTATTTTCTTCCTGAATCTTTTTTGCGGAAGCATTTTCAAGACAGGCGCTGTCCCCCACAGCAATCTGAGCATCCTGGATCTGTAACACACCCACTCACTTTCAGTCGTCCATTCCTTGTCAAAAAAGAAAGCCGCTGTCTACAGAATGCTTACCTTAGCAGCATCAGGCATTTCCTCATCATCATAATTGACTTCCTCAGCCAATTCCTTGTCAGCTTCCTCTTCCGCTTCCTTTTTGACCAAAGTATCAATGGTTTTTTCAACCTTCGTTTCACTCAAATCCATCTGCCCCTCTGAAATTCCGGCTTCTTCGTAAGCTTTTGGAAGTTCCCAGGCGATATTCAAATGCATCATTTACAAACAACGGAGAAAAAGTGATGTAGCACAATGAAATCGCATAATGTAAGGAACATCAGCACAGAGAACAGCTGACTATAAAGACCTGACGAATCAACTTTCATTCGTTAATGCGCAACGTTTTGCAGTTAAACGGGAGACGGGGAAAAGACGGGGACATGGGAGCAAGTATCTCCAAGCTTTCAGTTCCCAATTTCCGTGATCATCACGCCAACAAACATACACACATGCACATACGTACATACATATGTACATATATATGTGTACATAAATATATATATGTATATATATATATACATATATCTGTATATGCATGTATATACACACACGTGTATATATATGTACATACATTGGTATATATATGTGTATATATACATATATATACACATAAGTGGATGCGATTTCAATACAGTGAGTTTTAGTTCCGTACGATAAAAGTGATAAAAATCGTTGCTTTCGTGCTGACTAATCTTTGAACTTGAATTAAGGACCTTGTTCATCAGGTGCGCCTTCATTTTTTGTTTCCGTTTCCATAGCCTCCATTCCTCCTTTCTCCAACTGCTTTTCGATTTTAGCAGAGCGGCCTTCATCATCTTCGTCCTTCTCCTCAGCTTCAACAAAATCTGCAGTCATGTCAACACCACCTTCCCCAACTTTCTGCCCTCCGCCTTCCTTGTTACCATTAGGAACATCCACGGGTTGTTCCGTTGTTTCTGAAAGAATTAACGTCAACAGAAGCCCTGGCTATCCGGAATGAATGATGCATGCACGTGTCTCCAGTGCGGGAACAGAATCTGGCAGTGATTACCAATAAATAGCAGTGCGCACCAAAGAAGCCGGTGCGATCATGCATTCTGCGCAATCCCGTCCAGCGAATGTTTGTCTGCTAAGGATTTTCACTGCTTTGCACTTTCGTGTATGGAAGAATAATCGATTTACTGCCTGGCTCCAAAGCTGACTAATTTTTCACAAAAATTTCAAATGCCAGTATATGAAAACAGAATTTGAAACCCTGGATGGCGAACATCCTCCCAAACTCCAACTACCCAGTTTTCCGGCTTCCGAGTGAGTTACTTTCGCATTAAAACTCACACGTGGTCATACGCAAGACTTTAGCATACTTGGGAGCTAAATCGGAGTTTGTGAGATATCTGCACAGACAAAAAACATCCTCCTGAAATTTCAGACGCCGTTCCCGAAATAATAATTTTCCCCACCAAAATTTTTGCGGGGCTGCACAAGAGACCCAGGTATACATGAAAGCTGTATTTGATTCTGCAAGGTCGTATTCTTCCGAGATTTCAGCTTCCTATTTTTTATGGCTTCTGAGATATTAATTTTTCCCACCAAAACTTTCATGATGACATAATTGAGGCTCAGACTTGGCTGAGAAATGATTTTGAACTTATGGGGTCGTATGAGGGCAGGAAATATTCTCGTCAAATTTCAGCTTTACTGCTTTCATAGTTCCCAGAACAACTTTTCCACCAAAACCTTCACGGGGTCATACGTGATACTCAAGCGCACGGAAAAGTTGGATTTAAAATTTCCGGGTCGCACGTAGGCAGCGAACATACCCATAAAATTTCACTGTCCCGTAGTTCCCAAGACAATAATTTTTCCCACCAAAACTTTCACGGGGCCGTACGTGTTAGCGCGGGTACAGAAAAGTTGAATCTAAATTTGCGAAGTTGCACATGAGCAGTGAATAATCCTCTAAAACCTTAGCCGCCTAATTTTTGTGGTTCTCGAGCTAAAAGCGCGAGACAAAACGCGGTTGGACACACACATACCCGCGACAGTATACGTTTTGTGCTGCTGTTACACAGTGCAAAATGCACAGTAAAAATGTGATGGGTTGTCTAAAAATATATCCTTACACCCCACCAATTATTCTCATTTCTAAAAGCTTCACTGTAGAACAGCACAAAAGCAGTTCCTCTTAGCACTCCCTCAGGCTTTGCATGTTTCAAGGCATCGCTGCTTTCCAGCAATAAAGTCTTCGAGTTCTTTCCTCAACTTCAGTTTCATGTGCCCACAGGTAAACCCAGGCTGGAACGCACCAGGCGGGCCGGTACGATTATGCGTTTTTGCACTTTTCGTACCAT